CATTATAAAACTATATTGAATTCAAACCTATCGGTAACTTACAAAATATAAGAATGACTTGTAAATGTAATGGCTATTGTTACGTAAAAATGTAATGCTATCGTTACGTAACAAAGTTTCAAAATTAAACTTTCGCTTGTAAAACATATATAATTTGTAGTGTGACTTTATAATAGTCTATGCGAAGTTTATAGTCGTAACGCATACTTTAATTAGACTTTAGATTGTTATGCGACATACTTGTAAATAGTGAATAGTCAATTTGTAGTCTAATTGTATGTATAAATAGAGACATATAGAACGTTATGTATTTTAGTTCTCTAGTAAGTTAGTTTTTAGTGAGTCTTCTGGTATTTTCGTTTGGTTCTAGTAAGTTTGGAACTTGCTAGGTTGGCTCGTGGAAATAGAGATATTAGTATTCTTAGTGTCTGGGACAGATATTGGTTCAGTACATTTGATACCTGGAAAGAGATAATAAATACTTGCTTTCTTCTTTTTAATGTCGACGACCCTGAGTTAAATTGGTAGTTATATTAGAAAGACTCTCCCACTGGACGTCACACTATGTACTAATCCGTTGTCCATTTTAAAATTTAAAAATTAGTGCGTATTAATAATAAACTTTCAACACCTTCATTCCTTCCCGAAATAATACAAATTCAAATTGATAAAAATCGGTCAAAAATGGAAATACTAATAGAATAATTTATCTTATGTTAAAGATTTCTATCAGTATGAAACTAGAAGACATTCCTAGAATAGAATTGGATATATTTATCGTAAAACTAATTGTATGTAATTTAAGAAAATTATTTGTGCATGGTGTCCAGCAAATTTGTAAACTTTTAGGTCCAATTCTAGGTTGAAACTGCCAATTAGAATAGATATTCATTTAGAGCCCATTGTTGTTGATCAAACAAACAAAAACGATCTACATTATGGGCAGAAACATGATTTTTTAGAGCAGGGTAACAGATAATATTCAAAAAAAAGATCTGGAAATAATTGTACACGGAACCGACATGGTAGATCAAATTTTAATCGTTTATGGCAGGTTATCGGTTTTGACAGAATCAGTTTTGGGAGGGCCGATAGTATATATAAATAAGGCGATAGTATTATCATCCTTCAATAAGGACAACTTAAAGCATTATTACGTTCTCATTTCTTTCCTTTTTATTTGCTTCCTTTCGAAGTGAAAGTGAAGATGCATGTTAGACTGGTGTACGCAATCTTTTTAGTTACGATCACAACTGTAGCCGTAGGAATACCCTTAGAGGCATTACCGGATCTGGTTATAAATCCCGAAACTTCCTTAATCAAACGTGACTCATTGCCCAGTGATTGTAATGTCACGCGGGTCTTCGCCAAGACATCTAGGTGCGTAACTTCCACCATCATGGAGGTAACATGTGCACATGAAAGAGAGTCTGTGACAGTTAAACAAAAATGTAATTCAGATGAAGTTTGTATTGAATATGCTGACGAACAAAATAAAGTATTTGCAGTGTGTACTAGTCGTGATCACGCCAGACAATGGTCTACTGAGAATGATAATATATACTCATCTTGTTCACAGAATGAACCATATAAAACTGGTGGTGGAAAAAATTTAACACTCGGTATAACAACATATGCAAAAAATAATGTTACAAACCAGGAGGAGAAACACGCTGTGCAAACTATAAACGCATTTTTGAGTGATAAATATTCACTTGGTTTAGAAAGTTATCTGGACAGTTACTCTAAAATAATCAAAAATTATGATGGCAATACATCATTGCAATACTGTTTTACGGCTTATGAGCCATACACTGAACAGGTAGTAATAGCTTATGCTGCTGTTTTAGTTGGCCTTCAGAGTTTATAAATTGGGTCATTTTCAAGGCAAAGACCCCAATTTTATATTTCTTTAATGAATTATAAGATATTTGTATAATTTCTTAATGTTGCTATTTTATTTTTACCCTTTGTTTTTATTATCGTACCCAAAATCATGAAAGATACAAGATCTTTAGATTTTGATCTTTGTTTAGGTGACAAATGCTGTAACTTTGCTCTTAGGTGTTAATCTGTTAGTCGTTTTTAAAAATGACACTTAAGTGTTAAAATTTTTGTGCTTTTCACATTTCATTTATTTACTTTTTTTTTTTAACTATGTGAATAAGTATCGTGAAGGTGTCATTAAAAGATGATCAAGAACCAATCAATATCCTTGAATTTTAATAGATAGTTATAGAAACGTTATGTTTCCCGACTGTAGTGTTCAGTACAGTACGTACGGCACATATTTAAGTAATCTAAGAAAAAAAACCAAATAAATTAACGACAATTTCAATAAAATTATTATAAGACCACAATATAGGAATAGATATGGATTAGTTTGAGCTGAATAATATCTGTATATATTATGTATATAATATATTATTATTATATGGTACTAATTAGCAAAATAAATTTCATGGTTTACGTTAACATGAACAAATATTCAGAACACAATTATTAATTACTGAAGCATCAGAAATTCTAAATAAACTAAAGCCATTCTTTAAAGGAAATTTTAAGTTTTCTACTTTTATAGAAATACTTCGTGTGTTTTTATGTAAAAGAGTTGGAGTGTGTAATGATAAAATATTATCATCATAGTCATTGTTCTATTTGTTTTTTTTTGTTTTATACTTATTGTGAACGTAGTGAAACGAGTGTATGGTTAAATTCAGCTTTTGCGAAATTTTTGTTTATATGAAACTTATGTTTAATTTGAAAATCAACCCTTATTTCGAAATATCGCACATGAGCGTGCTCGAAATAACGTGCAGGTCAATTAATTAATACGCAGGTGGGTGTTATTTCGTGTTAATACGGTAGTATAATTTTACCAGAAACATTTTAATAATGCCACAGAGGACGATTGCCCAATTAGGATTTAATGTTATTCCTGTTTTTTTTTGGATTATATCTGATCCTGAAATTAAATTATAGGGGCGGAAGTTTTTTGTGGGAGAATTAAGGGTTTTGTCGTGTCAAATTGAATTAACTCGATTGCTTGAATCATGCTTTGAATAATAGCTACAATGGTATAAAAATTAATTTAATATATAGCTACAAATAAACTTTCAACTTAAAGCCATAAAACATAAATGAAGACAGTTAAATTATAAAAACTACTGGAATGAATGCAGACATTGTAAAAAATAAAAATTTTATTTCAGGTAACAAATACATATATATATATACAGGTGATCCCCGTTAATATCAAACTCGTTAAAATCAACCTAAGCCATAAGACAAATTTTTATAAATTTTATATATTAAAATTCCCTCATATATATCAACTTTAATATGATTTTTCATTAATATTACTATCAACATGATTTAAAACCAATTCAGATAGGTTGATATTAACGAGGGTAGAGGTTGGAACCGGTTTTAATAATTCGGGTTTATCACGTGAATTTTGTGATATTTTAGGATTTATTAAATTTTAATTGGATTAAATTCTAAAATATCACAAAATTCATGTGATAAACCCGAATTATTAAAACCGGTTCCAACCTCTAAACGAGGGTCATCCGTGTATAGAAATACAAACCATAATATAAGACTTATTTAAATCACCATTATATTCCGTTAATCAATTATTACTTCTCCACCAGCCCAACAAACAAAAAATGCAGTTCCAATAATATAAAATAAAGAACACATATTCCAAACAATACTCCAATCATTGTCAGTAACTTCTAATATCCAACCGGTTAATGCTACACCGAAAAAAGCTGGAATTAATCCACAAGTATGTCCTATGCCACATATTACGCCTGCATATTTTGGTGCAATATCCATCTATAATTGACAAGAGTTTAATTTATATTAAATGAGTAAATTAGTAATAATAAAGAATTAATTAATTAATTACATTGGAAACATTTAAAGCCGAGATATGGCATGAGTATAATGCAAATCCTATCGTTATTATCAATAATCCTTCATAAGATGTTCTTGCCAAATATGTTACCTATAAATTATATAAAATCAATCAATGAAAAAATAAATAAAACGAAAATTTGATAATTTCTTGTGTACTTACAAATAATAAAGATATTGATATTCCAAAGCCTGCAATTATACAAACAGTTCTTCTTACAGTTAAAACGGGAATTTTTAATTTATCAATCGCATAATCACAAATATAACCGACTATAATTCCCATTATGACGTATATAAAATAAGGTAAAGCTAATTGATTTAAAATTATAAAGTCTATAAATAAAAAATATAATAAATAAATAAAAACAGGATTAATAATATTAAGAATTTTCACCGGTATAATATCCAATTAAATTAATATCTACATGAAAATATTC